CATAGCAACCATGCCCTCCACTGCTCTCGATATGTGTTCTGCTGTATAGTTTTCAGCAATTTTTCTGTAGCTGTACCAGAAGAAGCCTGTGTTCTGTGGCTGGTTTAGCTGCTGGTCTGCTTGATCCTTTCAACTCTTTCATTTTTTCTTCTCTCTATAAGAACAATTGAGAACTGATGATTGCTTTGTAGTTCTTAGGAAGTAATGAAACCTTTCATGACACTGCAGAGTTGTGAAGTATGTATCCAACCAGCCAGCCTTTATCTTTGAGAATATACCTATGTCATGACAACTGGAGACTTTTTCTCACTTACATGCTCTGTCTCACCCAGGCATGGTCAGGTCCGGAAAGAGCTATTTCCTTGAAACATAGAATAGCATTTAATTTGCAGTGTCAGAAGAGAGGAAAACCTTTTATTCCAGTTCTGATTATCATGAAGACAAAAAGATGATACAAAGACGAAAAGAAATGTTTTGGTTCATTTCAATTTCACTGTTTTCAATATTGCACATAAAGCAGGTTTATATAGCTGTTGTGTGTCTGTAATTGTCCCCAGTCCCAAGCCTACTAACCAATTTTAAGCCCTCTCCTTTTTCAAATGTGGTTACACAAAGATCTAGTTAAAATATTTTTTAAAATTATGCACTGGGATATATGAATCAGTACATCCAAAGGAAAAACAACATTAGTGACTACCTATGTATTCTGTTTAGTCTTTTACCAAGCTAATGAATGCATGCATGTTGGCTTCTAGTCAACGTAGACATACCTTCAAACAGCAGCCACATCTTTGGCTCTCTTTCATACAGTTTAGGGTGAATGAGAAGGAAACAAGAGTAAGCAGAAGCTGGGGTAATAGTGATAAAGTTAGGATGCAAATCTGGAGGTAAACAATCTATATTAGTTCTGTTCATTAATCTTTATCTAAAATGTTTTCATATACTCAGACCATTAGTTGGAATTGGAATTCTTTTTTCCTATTTGTGCTTAAGTACAACATCTTGGAATATATTTAACCAAGTTAATATACCAAGTGGAGCTGAAGCAATTTGTCTTCAAAACACCAGTCAGCTCCAAAGGCAGACTACCTTTTCCAGATTGCAGTGGCATTATGTATAAACCCTACTAAGAGACTGTAAAGTTCAAAACCACCACAGGCAAGAATATGATTCAGGATATGTTTGCTTTAGAGCAAAATGTTTGTTGGGATAGAAAATTATATGGCTGTGAGACCTAGTAGCCCCAGAAATGTCTTAAGTCTCAGTGCATCATAGGAACATGTTTCTTCCATAAGGATAAGAACATGGTACACCAAAGAGACATATTCTTCTCTTAGACATAAGCAAGATAGTTATTAGGTAAAGGGATTTTGGAACAGCAACTGGGGAAATAAGAGTTGTTCTTGGTATGAGAGAGTTCTTCAAGTGCTCATGGTTCCTTCTGTTGGGCAGCAAGGAACAAGACAGCATAAAACAGACCTAAGATGATGCATACACCAACTGCCGTGGTACTGAGTCACGAGTGTTCTCATGTTGCTTTGTGTGAAGTTAGTCATGTTTAAACAATCACTTTATAATGTTAGAAGTTTCTTTATTATGTCCGAATCAAATCTTTTTATTATGTCAGAAGTTAAAAGTAAACTATATTGGCAAAAAAGGCTATATCAGATGGATACTTAGATAGGTTTTCATCTCTGGCAGACAAAATCTTTGTCAGCTTCAGGTGAAACCATTTTTCCTTGATCTCTTAATCTCCTTCATTCTTAGCAACACTTAAGGCATACTGCAGTGCCTAATTGTGTTGCACTGATAGTGTGTCTGTTTCTGTTTTGGACTGAGCTTCTCAGTTGTCAGCAGCTAGTATTTGTGGCATCTCCCTTACATATAGTGCTATGTAAGAAGGTTTTGTTCTGTGTTTGACTGTGAGGCAGGAACTTTTTCAGTGTTAATGAGGGTATTGAAGTAGCTTGTACTTTATCAGTAATACTTGGAGAACCTCTCACCCCTCGTTGTCTTGACCTCTCTCCTATTTTAGCGTAAAATACAGTCTTTGTGTAAAACATGTATTATGTGTGATTATATAAAAGAAAATATATACAGCTAAAGGCCCCTGTCTCAAATTTGTCCTTGCCAATTATTATGTAATAACAATGAACCAGTAGTATAAGTGATAGGCATTTGCAGTGATTTTAGAGGAGAAAAATATTAGCTTCAAGAAAATATTGGTGCTGTTTTTCCCTTTACTTACAGTAAAGGTGAATGGTAAAATACGCCATTCCCTGGATTTCGGCTTTGCGGGTGATGTGATAGCTGCCCAGTGCTACTACAGCAGGATGAGGTAGCAACTGGTTTTATCAGTGGTAGGATCTGAAACAAGGGCGAGCTCAGGGAGTATAATAAAATGCTTGGGCAGGATTTCATGATCTCTTCCAAACTGTAGCTAGCACTTTTTTTCACAAAAACAGAGGTTACCCACCACTATAAAAAGTTGCGGGTAGTACCTGGGAGCGAGTTAATCTTAGTGGGTGAAAGGAAGAGATATCTGGAAACTTTGTTTTGGCCTGCAGAATTAGTCCTTTACAGAACTCACTTTTTAAATGAAGGTTGATTTTATTTATTTTTTTAATTACTATAATTGAGCACTGTTTTGAGATGATCACGTATCCTCAGCTCTTCATTGAAAAACACAGACCTGTTTACCTTAGCCAGCTTGAATCTATGACTAACCATGCTAGGAAATTAAATCTACCTAACAGTTTAACTGTTTAGTAATTTGTTTTCAAAATAACACTTTAATTGGAAAATAAGATTAATTAACTCTTTATTGTGGATATCTCAGTTATAAAATTAGAAATTCAAAATAACATCTTTCTTCTCTTTTAGAAAAACCCTTATATAATGCTCTTAGAAGTAAATGCAAGTAATTTTTATCTGCATGTATGTGGAATGCATTGGTGTGCTTGTCAGCTTCTGTTTGTATTTTTACTTTCTCAGAACCTTTCATTACAGTGTTCTGTTTTCAGTTTCTCCTATCTGTCAGACATCTTTGTCTTTGGTTTGAAAGTTTCCCTGCTTTCTTTCTGGGTAGATATAAGGAAACTGACAAAAGTACATTTCTTTTTTTACTGAAACATCTGTTATAAATATGAAAATTTAATGAAAGTTGTAAATACTAACTTAAAATTATAATCTTTGTGTAGCTTTCCTATGTGTAAAGCTTAATTTTCACAACCATAATAATAGGAGTTTATTGTATACAAGTATATCTTTTAAACAAGCTGTAAGAAATCTGAAAATTTAACTCCGTACGTAACCATTTTCATGAAGAACCTTTACCAGGCTTTTGCAGTTCTTTTGCAAAAAGAAAGTAAATAAAATAAAATTACTTGCTCAAAGGTGTGGCTTGCATCTTCTGCTTAGCTGCTGAAACGCATAGGTACAGTTGTTCTATTTCTGCAACTTCATTGAAGTAACTACATAAAAGTTTTCATAACTTCCATTACTTTTTATCTTGGAGGATGTACTGAGCAACCATGGAAAGAGAGACAGAAACAACTGTCCTGAAATTAGAAACATTTGTTCTCAATTTTGTCAATTATTGTAGATATTATGTTAATTTACACTGAAGAAATAAAAATAATACATGTTGTTCATAATTTTACGTATTGAACTACATACAGGTTTTCTCTCCTGTATCCTTTAATACTGAATTAGCATAATACTAAACCCAAAATGGATTAATTTCTATTTTCATTTTTTTCTTTCTATGTGTGTCTGTTGTACCGTCTGCCTCCATAAAGCTGTGAAAGTCATTTAGATGTTTATGATCAGTATTAACTGTGCATGTAGTCAGTGTTTCATGTGTATCCCGTACTTCGATCAAGATTCTTCTTCTAAAGTTTTCAAATTTGTTTTTCTTATGTCTTCACACCTAATGTCTTGTAACAGAGATACTGGCTAGTTCTATGTATCTTTAACCCTTTATACACATTTCACTTCTCTCTCAAGAGTCTTTGCTTAATGAAAACTTACTTTTCAAAAAAGTCTTCATCTATTTTAAGCAGATAAGGAGTTCCTTTATCTGGGCACAGCTTGCACAGGAGGCAGATAAAGTTGAGTCAGACAACTTGGTTGCACTTCATTCCTCTAGTAGGTGTAGAAACCCCATGCATAAATTCTGAATGCTGTGCTTCATACTCACCCAGTGCTGTTTACTCTTTCAGCAATGCAGCAAAGGTAGAAAGGAGAAAGTTTGTAATAAAACTTTGTTCCTAATCTAGGTCTGAGTCAAAGCTACAATTCTGTCCTCATAGAACAATTAAACGTACCTGTGTGCAGTGCTTTTTTTTTTTTTTAAGGCCAGAAATGCTTGCATTAGAAACTTACAAAAATTCCAGGATTAAATATTTGCCCTTTCCCTTTCCTCCCTAGTTTGTGTTCATGAGATATCTGTCATTAGTAGGTATCATGCCTAATGGTTAGCAGAAGAGAAAATTAAAACCATCCTGTTACAGTTGTTTTCAGCCTGTGCCTGTAGGCTATTGTGGTCTTTTGAATACTTTTAAAAGATTTACAGAAGCTAACAAAGAAAAGTGATCTTACTATCAAATAGCCTTAAATTCACTATGCAGGGAACTTACCTATCCTCAGAAATAGAATAGTTTAGGAGATCAACCTTTAAAGTAAGATTAAAAAGAAAAAAAAAATAATATGGATGCTGCTTAAGATGTGTTATTTATGTAAAATACAGCATACAAAGTGATATTTCCATTCTGCATTCTCTTATATTTCTATAATTCATTTTCCCATAATAATTACATGGTTTTTTTCATGCTCAGTATTTCAGAATGGTTATTGTAATCAAGTTTTGTTAGGGATTTTACAACTGTCCATTATATAAAGATAACTGTATTAACTAACTTCTTTTTTTGGAGGGGATAAAAATCTCAAGTGCCATTTCTACTCTAGATAACTGACATTCTTTTCCTCTCTGCCTGTAGGAACTTCCAGCCCCTTTGCTTGATGATACCTACAGAAATGAATTGGGAGAAGAAGCAACAGCTGTTAAATCTGAAGATTTTCAGGATTCTATGAAAATAGCCTGGCGCTACCAAAATTTACCAAAAATGGAGGTAATCAGTATTTTATACTTCTTTCCTTTTATAGTCAAAATGAATTTGCAGAGCAAATGCTTTTCAGTAGAATTTAGGCTAGTAGAACTGCTCATGGACAGTGTTACAGGATTGCCTCCTGAGGGTAAATTATCATACACCACTGTATTTTTTTCTTACTAGAGATACAGAAAGAAAGGGAATTTAGGAGTTTGCAGGAACTGTAAAACTTAATATAAAAACATTAAAGTGCCATGGGAATTTTCAATTAGTATTTTTAAACTGAGACTGCTTTTTATGAAGGTTTGAATTATTTTTTAAACTTTGCCCAAAATTAGTAGTACACAAATTACTTAAGTAGGTTTAATCAACAGTACTTACTAGATCTCTGTAGTGAAAGTATTGTGTCGAAGCAAGCTGTTGACCTGCTTATCCATGTGCATAACAACTAAAGTAAGCACTTGAGATTATATCAGCTTCACTGTCACCAGAAACTAATCACTGTGCAGGAAGAATATAAGAAACAAGCCCAGTGCTCAGTCTTTCAGAGTTTACAGTTATTAGTGTTTTGTGAATAATATATCTCCCATGGCTGGTGACTTTCTTATTTAATCCAGTGGCAGAATCAACCTTTAATAAAATTACAGCAGTTTTGACTATCCAGAACAAAAAACTTGTTTTGTCTATACATTTTAGCCTACGTTTATAAATTCTGGTTTAGATGTAGTCATAACTGCCTTGTAAGTTCAGTCGTATTCTTAAAAAACATAATTGGAATGTGACAAAATGATCTTACAAGGCTTGGCATGTTTGGTTTTCTGTGAAATTGCACAGACATGGCTATATAGTTGTGTCAGAAAAGACTTATATATGGTGACATGCCAAATCAAACAGCCTCCAGGGTAATCATATAATCTCATCAATTTATTATTGTGGACCTTGCTTGTGCCGCTTTGAACCATCCCCAAAGTAATTTGTCTGGTTTAAAATCTCGCAGAATTCCTCATACACTGATATGGAAACAATTGCTAGTTGTTAACAAATAGTGTGCTCATGTTCTAACAAAAAAGAAGAACATACAGATAATCCAGTTAGGTGTGTAGTCATTCTCTGTAACTTCATAGAAGTAATGCCTTCATCCACTAATACAATATTTCTCTACAATACATAATGTACTTGTCATCCATTATTGAAATTTGTTTATACCGGATAGAATGAAATGGTCAATCTTCTGTGGTGTGTTTCCGTTGTTACCATTGTTGCTTTCTGAATTGGATGCTGATCATTCTGAATAGTTGAGGTACAGTATTTTTTATATATATGTTAAATTTATTTTAAAAAATAAAACTTGCAAATAAAAGTCTAACTCGGCAGCTATGTATACCTAAAACTCCTCAGGATAGCCTAATTAGTGAAAAATAGTTTTGAAATTTATATTTTTCAGTATTTTATAATGCAGTTATCATAAAACTTTGGTGCTGTGCTAGATTAATTTGATTGGTGAATATACTCCATTGAGGACAAACCTGATGTTGTCTGGCAGCACCCTGAGTGCTTAATACACTTAGTACAATCATTTAGTTCACAATTTTGGTTGTGATTTATTGTTTAAATTTTCTTTTGGTAGAAAAAAATAACATTGAATAATATGTCAAGGCATATTTTCCAAACTGATTGAACTAATAAACTAGTACAATTTCAAAAACTACTGTCAAATAGTTTCAAGTATGAGAGAGAGAAAATAGTTTTGATTTTAACTAGAACTCTAAACACATTAGGAGAAGACTTTTCCATCCAATATCTGGCGTTACATGAAGTAAGAATGCTGAGTAAAAGCTGTCTTTGTGGTATTTTTGATACCTAATTTAGTTTTTATTTCTAAGTATTAAAAGAGATTTTCACTAATAGTTCAGATATCACCTTCCCATTTATTAGACCTCATACAAATTAGTTAGGTAACTCATTTTTGTTCTTATGCATGGTATTTATATTAGTACTCTTCATAACTATCACAGTTTCTCTTTACATCTTGCGTATACCTTGTACATCAGAAAAAAGACAGATGCTTTATAAGAAACCTGTCGAAGTAACAGGTTCTGTAGTGCTTGATGTGCCTTTGCCAGTTTGTTACTTTCATCTGGATCAGAGGTTAATTTCATTTAAACTTTTGAGTATGTGGATAGTCTATTTGCAATGCAAGACAGTGGATTTTTTTTCCCCTTTTTTTCCCTTTTTTTTTTTTTTTTTTGAATGAACTGCTTATGTTCTTGGGGCAATATATAAACTGTCACAGCATGAAATCAATTTTCTGCCTTGATTCATCCTAAATCTGAGATTTCTAGCACATTAGTATTGCAATTAGAAACATTAACAGCAGACGGTAGCATAAAAGCACACTCTGCTCAGTGACAATTTAGTGTATTTCTCCTTGTGCAAAATAGGAATCCAGGAAAGAACAGGCTTGAGCCTCCAATCCACTAATAAATTTATCAGATCAAACTTAAGAGGAGTGGAAAGTCTCTGCTTCGCACTCTCCATGGTCATTCTGCTAAGGCAGATTATTCATGCTTACTTGATTCAGGTAGGCTCTTTGCAAGCTTCCCCACTAAGCCTGGGAATGCAGTACATTGAGGCCTATTCACAGGCTTCTGACATAGACCGAGCTTTTATTGCATGGTGTTTTATTATAGCCAAATCCTAGTCTCCACCCAGTTTGTAGGCACTGCTTATTCTTTTGAATCAAGAGAGGTTATCACCTACCTTAATCCATGCAGCAGGGTGGATTAAGGACACCAATGTGCCTCAGGATTCTCAAAGAGGATCCTGGAAACTTCTTGTTTCTTCTTTTTTGCTGTCTTTACTAAACTCTATTGGGCCTCAGTAAGGATTTGCATCTGAAATGGGCAACCTGGAGCTTTTCTCAATGAAGACATCAGATCAAAGTTCAGTTAGTCAAGGCCTTTCTAAAACATTAAGGGGGCTTGGAAGTACACAATGAAAAGATGAGCTCTGGCAGAGATTGCAGTAAAAACATTCTGATCTGTAATCCGGATAAAGAATAGATTATAGGCCAAAGAACAGCCCCTGTTTAAATTGCTTTCAGAATCCTTGTTTTAAACAAAGTTACGTTTTACATTAAAAATATTTAAATTTTGATGGATTGTGGGACTTCCTTCTTTAAAAATCAGGTGCTGCTAAATCAGTTGGAGCACTGACTTAGAGAATGGGGTTTTCTGTCTTTTTTTGAGTAAAACTGATCTGCCTCTTATAACTAGATACACATGACCAATTTTGTGGGCTTTTTAATTAAAAATGAATTTTAATTAAATGTTTGGGGTTATTTTTGTTATTGTTTTTGTAGGAAATATATTATTGTATAATTGTATTATTGTTGCTATTCTCTGATAATTGATCAGGCCTAGCATCTATTAATCAAATAATTTCAAAATATTTACTCTAAATCTTAATTATTCTAATTAATCTTAACAGTTTAATATAATTTTGATTAGCTGAAGCATGAAATAAAATTGTGGGAATACATAGCATGATTGCTTTCAGAATGCTAACTATAAAGACATGTCCATGTCTGGCATGTCTGTATTCTTTCTTTTTATAGTGTTATAGTGCTTATTTTATTAGTAAGACCAAGGTTTATGAAAACCACAAGCCTTCTGTAATAATTGGAGTTGGAACTAAATAATTTGTTGCTCAACACACAGAAAATTATTGGCACCCCATTATTGTAATAATTCAGTATACCTATTGTCATTCCTGTATATAGCAAGAATAGCAGATGATGAAATGGGAGCAGAAGTTGTTCCAAAGAATTTTCATTGCATACATACAGAAGCCTGCTCAACTTTCAAGTAGTGGATAAAATGTATATATTGGCCTGCTTGAAGGAAAAATCCTTTCATAGAATGTTCTAAGTTGTTACAGAAAGTACTGAGAAACTTTTGAAGTTACCTGGGACATTTCTGATCACTTTTCAAAAGTAGTTCCATACTTTTAACTACAAACAAAATAGCCTTTCACTTTACCTACCAATCCAAACATGTCTTCGGAACCACCTTTAAAAGGCATTCTGTTCTGCGGTGTTAATAGGTCTTCAACATCTCTCTTTCAGCTCTTACCTTTTCTGTGTCACCTTAACAACAGTTGAGATATTTCATTTTATCTTAATACTTTTTCATTTAATACCTGAAGTGGCTCTTGACTCTTATGGGGGATTCAGCTTAGCAATAAAGTCTTGGAGTTGGAAGATAGAAAAACGACTTAAAAATATTTTTGCGCATTCCTGCGTTGTACAATGCACACTTGAGATGCAGTCCAGGCTTAGGGTAGTTGTCCTCGAAATAAACTAGTAGGTCATCTTTCTTTTGACCTGCAAAGCTGCTGTTGAAAGTCTAGGATCAGCACCTTTCTTGGTCCAGGCATCTTACCATTTAGAAATATTGTGGGTTTGATTGATACGTGTATTATGAAACTTGTTTGGTTACTGTAAATTACCTTTCTTCTTCCTCAAAAGAGTTAGAACAGTTGATGAGAGGTAGTCTGATCAGGAGCACAGTGGTGTTTGTGCCATAACATAGGATCAATTTTAATATCACTTTGCTATCTGTGATTCCTTTACAGTGTGTACATTAAAAAATACTATATAGTGGTTTACATTTGTGCCAAGTGTTTTCCTTCCCTGGAAGAGACTAACTTGCCTCTGAGGTTTATTCTGCTTTGTTCTTTCCAGGATAGCTTTTTTTTTTTTTAATGAGAAGGGCAGAAGAGATGAAGAAAATGGATTGTTACGTGAAGAGCAAAAACTATTCAATTCCTGTAGCAGACAGCTACTACATACTTTAATACTGCATATGATAACAATCTGGAGTTTTTTTAACATTACGTGTGTAATTCAACTAAAGTTGCAGGTTGCATGCTGAACTCCATTAGTGTGGAACAAAAATATGCATTCATTTCCTCTATTTACTAGCACAACATATTCAAAATGTGTAATTCCTGCTATGGTGTATATTAAATTTGAGAGGTTTATGATGTTTTATATATCCAAAATTGAGAGCTCATAAAAAAGTATCTTCATTATAGTAAACCATGGTTATTGTGTGTAATGTCTGTGTAATGCTGTTTATTCAAAATTCAAGAAATTAAAAGTAGTTTTTAACTATGTCCTTTTTTTTACGATTTTCTATTAAAAGCAGATGTATGAAGATGCAATGGTATTTTTTCTTACAGATCATAAATAAAGTGAAACATTTTCAAACTCAGCTGAAAATGTTTCTGTAGCGCTGTATAATTCCCAGGTACTGAAAAATCAGATAGGTGGAACACATCATGGCCTGCATTTTTCATATGTCTGTCACATTTTCATGTGCAAAAATACATGTTTTTAAGTATCTGACTGCAGTTTGGTGATGCAACTTGGAACAGTAAGGGTTGAATTATGTGTGAAAATTCACATTATAGAATGTCAACAGGGGACCCAAAACTTAGTAGTAAATGTTATAATGTTGTTCCACTTGAGGTTTATACTCATGCTGAATGGGGAAAAAAACCAGAGGTTTCTTTAAAGTGTATTGCCAGTTAATTATTTTCTTCTGACAGATTTTGTTGTTTCCACAGGCCAGCCCAACAACATCTACAAAGTTTGGCCATTATTATGATGTTTCTAAAACAATGTCTCCGGAACTGTTTCAGTCCATAAAACGGCACTGTTTTTACCTTCCTGAAGAATTGACTATGCAGCCTAAAATGAAAGCATGGTAAGTTGTAATATCACGTGCTTCTGTTTTGTGTTCAAATTTTGTCTGCATATTAGTAGTAAAGGCTATTGTTGCATCTACACTTGCTGTGAAAAATCTTGTAGCCACACAGGGCTCATAAGCAGTTTAGCTGTGTTTCCCATGTCAGTGCTACATGCTACGACTGGCAGCAAAGCTGCTGTGGCACAGAGACAGTGCAGTATATGGCCTCCTCAGCTGTGGGAGGAAGCACGTTGGCAGGGACAATTAAGGCAGACATTGCTAGGACAGCCTAGGACACAGCTGCATGTTCAGTCCAGCCCTACTGACAGCTGAGTGTGGGGACTGGGGACAACTATTACTATCTGTCTGTGAACTACTCCCTGAGCACCATGCCCCATTAGCTTTCGGAGATATGTGTGTCAGGCGGCTATCAGTCTTAGGAAGATATCCACACAGTTTTTAGGGCTAAGAAGACAGGCCATCCTTGACCTACATAGCTTAGAATGCTATATGAGATTAGTGTATTATGTGACTTTTACTTCTTACATCCTACAGCTTCACCTAAGGAAAACACAAAATGCTGTGAATAGAATTACAGTCACTAATTATGTCTTACACAACACCCCTAATTCCAGAGAAAATCATAAACTCTTCTCTGAATGAATAACTTATTATAGTTTGTGTCTGTCAGTAATGAATTAAGGAAGACCAAGAGAAAATGAGTGACAGTAGCAAAGACTCATATTAGCCTGTAGCACACACGTCCATTGTATCTTTCTTGGAGACATTTCAAGTCAACTCAGACATCAAACATGGGCTAGCAATCTCTTTGTTCAGCCCAGTCACTTAATTTATATAATACATAGTTTTATAGATCCCAGTGTATAGGGCCAAATCCTGCAAGCAGTAGTAAGGGAGCCTTTATTGTGATTGATTTTCATTACTCAAATATTAAAACTGAGATTTATGAAAGAAGTGCAGTATCAAGGGCCTTTCTTAGCACTGTAGAAAAGCAAAAACCAAGTCTCTGTAATTTGTTTGTCTTACGTGATCAAATGTCACTGGTTTGTAAGTTCTTGCAATGTTGTAATAAAAAAAAAAAAACAAAAACAGGAGAAAGGAGAGGAATTATATTTTATTCTTTATATGGTAAATATTTGAAGCAACTTTATGTATAATTTTTTTTTTTTTTTAATAGCAGGACCACAGAGCATAGATACAAGAGTGTGACACATAGGTTGCAAGAGCTTATATTGTTATTGAGCAATATAACTCCTAACTCCCTTTTTGTTTTTTCTTAAGCTAACTAGAATGTCTCATGACTCTGAGCTTAATTCCACTAACTATATGGCTGTCAAGTATTTGTACATTTTACATTAAAATCAAATTAACTCATACGTATAGTATAGGAAATGGACTTTAACTTTTATGCATTTGATTTTATAAGCCTTGCTTAACTCTGGTATTTTTCTTGTGTGCTATCCTGATAAAAGTTCATCATTCTTACCATATGAATTCTATACTTATTTTTAGTTTTAATCTAACAGAAAGATTAGATTTAGTTAATTTGCTTAGCAAATTGGTAGAGCACAGAGTGTTGAGGTGGGTGAGGAACATGATCAAATAAAGATGGATTTTAGAAGGCTTATCTCCTTTTCTTCTCGCTGCATCCACAACATGGGTCTCCTTCAAGAAGCCTCTCCTGAGGAAATGAAAGAATTGTATTGTTGGGAGTAAAGGCATGTACCAAGACAACAGACAACCACCATTCTAAACATTGTTTTTTTAGAGCAAAATACAATGTGATAAGAGACAGGGAGGAATAAAGAGCACATTGGGAATAGTGAACTCTCAGAAATCTGTCAGAACTGTGAAGAGATGGGCACATCTCTTTCTTCATTTCCAGTACAACATTTGTCTTCTAACTTTTGGTTATTGTCTTTCCTGACCACAAACACCACTGGTTTTGGATTCCTGTATTTAAAAGGTTGAACTAGGTCAAAGTTAAGGCAAGGTGGGAAGAAGAATTTTTCAGAATTGCAGCCTCTGAAATAAAGCTTATTTCTTTGTAAAGAGATAGAAGATTTAAGCTTCCCATAGGCAAAGTCATTCAATTTTGACACGCATTTAAAAAATAAACTGAATTAGAATTTCAGGTTCTGTTCATCAGTGTTGTATAACTGGAGTTCTTAAAAAATAATGGAAGTGGAGAAAAGCTGCTTCTCCCATTACCCCAATCCCCAAATTGATCTGCACCTAGGACAGTTAATATCAGCAAAGTGGACTACCCAGTTTACATAAGGAAAGACCAGGTTAGAAAATAATAAATGTTTTCAAGCTGGGACCTAATGAAGTTCATTGACAATTCTTTATGTTCCACAAAGCCAAAAAGGCCAAAGCAAATGCCTGTCTTGACAGAGAGGAGAAGGTGGACACATCTGTGGGATAACTTCAGTGCTCCGAAAAATACAAGAAAAAACAATACAATCTATTTTTAAGCTTCTAGGGTAGTTTCACCCAGTATGTGTTTCCTTTGTTTGCTTATGGGTATTCAACTAGGATAGAGTCAAAAGGCTTTAAAATAAAACAGGAGATATTCTCCATTGATCAAGTCTGTTATGTCAAAGGAAGAACATAGACTGGTCTGACACTTTTCTTTTTGTCATGTTGATTATCTTCTAAATAAACTGTCACTGAGTCACGGTTGAACCTGAGTGAAGTACCAAGGTTAATCCCAGTGCTGGGTCTGGTAACAATCTAGTACCAATTTGGCTTGATACATATCCTGAGCAATGAGTATCTTTATTGTAGTCATAATGTCAAATTTGGAAAAAAATGGAAGGAATAATTGCATGCAGATTAGATAATAGAATTAGAATTCAAGAAGATTTAGGTTGGTGATCTGGAATAAACTGTATGAAATTCAGTGAAGACATGCCAAATATCATACTAGTTGAAATAATTAATTAAACAAATAAAATAGAGTAGCAGGTCTCCAGAAGAATATCTGGGCTTATACAGTATCTTTAACATAAAATATATTAGCAGTGTTGCTGATTAATGCTACCGAAAAGCATAATTTAAAAAGCATGGAGGTGATAAACTGGAATTTAATGTGGAAGACATGCAAAGTACTTCTGTTCAGCCATAACAAGGTTGTCCAGTTTTTAATAGCATCCTTCAGGAAAACTCTGGATTAGTTAGAGAAGGTTGTGAAGGTGAGTATACATCCAGAACTGGGATATATGGCCCCTGACAGAAAAATGGAAGTTCTTAGACAAATCGAAGCAGAGACTTGAAGCACATTTAAAAACTGACATACAGAGGGGCAGTAACTCTGTTGTCTGCTGAAGGTAGGACAAGCAGTAATGGGCTACAGTAAACTGTAGCGGTAGAAATACAGGCTGGAAATAAGGAGATATTTTTCTAATGATTAGCACTAGAAAAAGTTGCCTTGCAGACACGGGTTGGGAGTATTGTAGAATCTCCATCATTGAAAATTTCTAAGGACAAGGTAGGTAAATATCTGTCAGAGATGGTTTAGATGTAGTTCATCTTGCCTTGGGGCAAGAAGATAGACTACCTGACCTCTTGAGGTCCCTTTCATCTCTATCTTCTATGATTCTTTAATACACATTAGTCACAGCGTATTAAATCCAATACTAAGAATGAATATTACCAATTATTTCACTGTTCTCAAAACATTTATGCTTTTACAGAAACCCAACAGGCTTGTACTGTATTTTTTACAAACGTTGTGATGAAATTCTAAAGGAAGCATTCCTTTCTCAAGGACTGAAAAGAAGCTCACAATCCCATCAGGATGATTTCATAAAAGAAAGTTGATAAGCAGGGAAGGGAAAGGATATTATTCTGTTGGCATTACTGTTTGGAAAAATCTGGCTTCTAAAGCTAACTTCAATATATCATAGAATAGTAAAAATTTCTGTTCTCTTGATTATCTAGACAATGATTTGAAAGAAAGTAATATTGTAGTCACAGTTAACCCTTCCAATAGAAGTCAACAATTTGTATTAGACCTCATCTTTGATTGCCTGAGTGTCCCACCGAGAGCTTGAGCTAACCTCTTTTACGCTATGTTACTAGGAGAACTAGGAGCACAGACATGGCTAGTTAGCATGTCTCCACTTAGAGGATATCATTTTGTAAACATAAGGTTCCCAGACCATGGTCTTAGATGCATAGCCAAAAAAACACCTGGTCGCATAATGCTAATTACCTATATAACATTGCAAAATCTCTGTGATCTGTTAGGGTGACAGTACCACAAAAAAAGTACTGATAGCCTGGAAGGAATTTAAAAAATTGTTACAAAAATTACTCCAAATTCTGAAAATCTCTAAAAATATGACTTTTTTCAATTTAGTTTATCAAAATAAGATTGGCAGAAAATGCATTAATACTGAAAGCTGACAAACCCTTCAAAAATAAGGAGGCATTTTTAAGAAAGGGGATAGTTCATTATTGAAATAATTTACATTAATAGGCTATGTATTATGGGATGTTTACGAAAGATTTCATGACTTTCTAAAGTATATACTTTGCAAGATATGTATCAGTAAAGACATTTCTGAATGAAATTTGCTCTTAAATCATGTAGGAGTGCAGACCAAAATCAGTGATGTGGATTGTTTTTTTTAAAATCTATAAGAATGTTTTCCTTTTGTCATTGATACAGAAGTTGAGGAGGAAGCAGAAACTGATAATTTTGCCTAGCATATAATTTTCCATAAGTAAATGGTATTGTTGTTGATGGATGATACCTCTTTATAGTATCAGAAGTTAAAAAAAAAAGAGGAATTAGCGAAAGAAAAAAAAAACAGAGAAGCTTTTCCCTCTTCTCTAAATGTTTCCACATTATTTTAACTGGCATAATCCATTGTAATGTAGCAGAGCACAGTATGGTTTAGGTTCAGGCTGAAATAAATTGTTATAGTCCTACAGGCGCTGAAGAGGCACCCTAAATTGTGTAGTCGTCGTGGAAATTGTACCTAACCCAACATATACATTCTACATTGAGGTCATAAACTGTATGTTCTGCAATGACAAGCTAGTAATTGTAAAGAAAAGTTTTAGAAGCTCAGTATGGCTTTTATTGCAATTTTTTGATTACCTTATGTACTGCTGTGAGCGAAGCATTGCCTAAGTGTTGTCCTTTTTGGGTAGTTTTTTTTTGTTTTCCTGACAGAGACCTGCTACTTTTGTATGTTCCTCAAAGAATGTGCTCAACCTGTAACTTGTTAGATGCACCTAGAATTCACCTTGTTGACCAGCGTTACTTTTCCCTTTCTTTTTCAATTAGAGGGTGGCTGCCTTTGGAGGCCTTAGGTTTCATTTTGCCTCCTTGAAATTTGGAGCAGTTCTCTTCCCCCACCCTTTTTTTCTTTGGGAAGGTGTGAGAAACAAGAACAATCCTTTGCTCTCTTTTTCTCTCACTGCTCAGGGGTGTACTGACAAAGAACACATTATGCAATTAAGGCAGAAAATATACAGGAAAAGTAATGTACCCCATTTTCCTGTACAGCTTATACTCTCCTAACAGAAACAGTGAGTATAGTGAACATATATTTTACAATCCTTTGAAAAATGGTGCTGCATCTATTAATGAGCAAGGTCTTTTATCATAATGTTTTGTGGCATAAGAACCACATACTTGTAAAAATGACCAAATCATCTTGGTGCTTCAAATTCTCTAGCATCACATTAAGGAACCTTTTTTATTTAAACTGTTCTTCAGTGAGTGAACTGTCTCTGTAATTGTAGCTAATGTCTGTTGCCACATAATTACAGTGCTTCCCTTGCAGGATCACAGGTTTAGAGGCTTTTATTTGGGCCAGAAACTCTTGGCCCTTTTTAGCAATCATGTATATCTATACATATGTCCCTCTTATCCACACAAGCATTTGGCTTCTTGATGGGCTTTCAAACAAAGGAGGTTCTTTGACTGACTAGGCAGAACTAAGTTATTGACTGGCCTTTTACTTTGCAATTAAAGATCAGATTTGGAGGTTATATACATCATTTGTTTACCTTAAAGTTGGGATCTTTCTATTCTTTCCTGTGTTTTTGCACACAAGTGTGTGTATCTGCTCTTTGACAGAGGGAAATGAGGAGTACTGTGTTTGCTCTCCTTTCTGTACTTCTGGTACCTGATGGCTAAATTAGATTACAGGGTCGTCTCTTGGATAATCACTCAAGACGGGTGGAAGTTCATTGCGCCATGATAAACATTCACTGAAAACATATTGGGAAGTCTGTTCTCCTAAAGGAAGTAGTAAATGGGACTGGGTTTTTAGTGCCAAAAGGCAGCATAAGCCTTCTCTTTCTTATCTAACTTTTTATGTTAGGGAAGGACAGTTATGCCCTGGCCCTAATGCTGGGACCAGTTTAACAAGGCTGTGCAGCTGACAGCAACTGTTTTCCAGTTGTTGCTAGGGTATTCTGGTATCCTTTTCATTACGTTGCTAAAGCTGGTACTTAACAGGAAGGCAGAAATATCCTCTGTGGTAACTCAGAACAGGCTTACTTTCTACACCTTTTGCTTTACTTCTGTCCTTGTTGCTTAGTTGCAATTACCAAAAGAGAAAGTTTGATAATCAAGGGAACTAAAATAATTTAAGCTGTAGTTTTCCAGTAATGCTCATAAGTTTTCCCTTAAGAATGTATGTGCTTTCGAAAAAAAAAAAAAATTACCTAGAGTCTAGATTTACCGATAAATTTAGATAACAGGTTTGACTGTCTTGCCTAATGGGGTCTCCTTATACATAATAAGGCTATTTGTCATACCCTGATAACCTAACCTTTGTTAACTGCTTAGAAACTATCAACAGAGAAGTCACAGGCTCTGTTGTAACCAGGATACCTTCTTCCCAGCTCCTGCTTTATCCATTACTAAATTGCTAAACAAAAAAAAGAGTAAAGATGGAATTGTTTAAACTCATTACCAGATTTAAATGGTGTTTAGTAACAAAGCCAAAAAAGAGTAGAAATTAGAAAATAAAAATTTATTTCCTTCCTTAAATTATGACAAACATTGCCAGAAGGATGATGCAACTTGTTTTTATAAATAGTGTTTCCACTGTATTTTTCATGTCCTTATTTACATAGCATGTTTCAAATTCAACTAAACCACTAATATTTTAGCCAGAAGTAGAAGAGCACCTACTTTCACATTCTATGTGCATTACATTATTTTCTTTAATTCTTTCTTCGCTACAAATCTTTTTCTGATGTATTGTTTGTTTTAATTGTGGGATCCTTTAGTTCTGCTAATGCTTTAGGTATTTTATTCTTTTATCCACTAACTTTTAAGAGCGAGTTAGTAACAAATCAGGAATTGGCAAGTACTGTGATTGCAGTATATTCTCTGACATCCCTACGGTAATGCTCATATCTGACATCCCATGGTATTACTCATAAGCAAAATATATGATAGATACACAAACTTGAAAATGCTACTTTGTGGTGACAATGACCACAGTTGTCTTTTTGTATTACACATACTGTAGTGTGGCTATGGCTACAGGATAGTTGCAAACTCCTTCCTAACGTTGGTGAGCAGCAGTTTCTATCTTTTCCAAAAGGATAAAGGAATATCCAAAAGGATACATGAATGCTTCTGGTTATTATGAAGTGCCGCAAATTCTCTCCAGCTCTGGCAGAACTGGGGAGAAATTGCAGCACTGTGTATGCAACAAGGATTGTGCGTGTGTTGCGATAATGTGAAGACATGGCGTGAGAAGGCATTTTGGCTAGCGTGGAGGCTAAAGCCCTCTTCCCCTCCACCTACCCTGTAAACTGATGCCTGCAGGAGTGTGTAACATTTCACAGCCATTCCTTTCGCAGCTAAATGCTAGGAAAGAAGTTGACTTCATGAGCAAAAAATTTACTCTTTTTTTTCTGTTTGAGATGCTCTTTTTTGTATAGCAAGGCCAACTTCATATCATGTTGAGATATATATTGCTATTTATTTTCAGCTGTGAATTTCATAGAGAGTATTAAATTAGTGAGGTATATTTGTTTAACCTGTAGCCTTCTAGGGTACTAAAACTGAAAACAAATAAATGAAATTTAATATGGGAACTCCCCCTTTTATTTATATCTGAGAAGGATTATCTCTTAATATTTTCTGACACTGAGTATTTCAATACTCAATATTTTTATGACTATATGACTTTTGATTGTAGATGTTGATAATGTGAATATATCATTGGGGGGGTTGTATTTGGGTTGATACTGTTTTCTTGAAAGAAGTGTAGAATTCTGAGTTAATGCAACTCTTAACTGCATGTCGGAAAAGTTGTCTTCTCTCCTATGCAAAAGTATTAAAGCAAGTTTATTTGGGTTTATTTAGGTATTCATTAGTAAAATACATTTGGATAACATTTTTGGCTCTTACTAAAGTAATGGGAATAGTTTCATTAATGTTTGGACCAGGTGATCTTTCAAGGTCCCTTCCAACCTTGGCTGTTATCAGACCGAACATATAAAATGATTGCAACAAGTAAGGATATTTTTAGAAGCAAATTTTTCAAAACAATCACTCATATTTCCCAAGAGGTACACAAGAAGGTTTGAATTCTAAACCCATGATGGCAATTACTGAGACTAGAAGGAAAGCTGAAGCTAGAAAAGATAGAAGGACTTAAACTCTCATCTGCAGTGAGGAACCTACATCAAGTCCAGACACACAAGCCAGTATGCTCTATGGGATTTAAGAAACCAGTATATCTCTTTTAAAAATGAAAAAATGGCTTGTTTTTTTAAACTAAAAATTGGGACTTTCTGTCCTTTGTATGTATTAGCTTGTGGACTGGAGAGCATGGCTGGGATGGATATCTGAAGAAGTGCTTTGGATGTGCAGGAACTGGACCTTCTAAGATGTTGACAAGATGATTTCCCAAGCTTTCATTTGGTTTTAAGTCTGCCTAAATCCATGTTTAGACACAAGTTTCCTTTTAAAAAAAAGATTATTTTGTGTTGTATTTTCTAAATAATACATTAAATAAATTCTACCTCACAATTCTGCCATCATGCAAATAAAGCACTAATAACACCCCTAGTGTATGGGTACAAAATGGAACTGTAGCATAGCAGATATCTTATGCTGTGGTGTCGTATCAGAAAAAAAAAATCTAAAACAAAACAAAAAAAAACCCTACATTAACTTTTTAATTGTGAAAATGTCCCATTTTTTGTTGGTTTTGCTTGTTGTAGCAGTTGTATGTATGAAAGTTTTAAGTCATAGAAAGTCCACTCTGTTCATCAGGGCATTTATTAGGTATACTTGGAATAAGAGTTGGGTAGCTCTTTGCCAGTTACAGAAGATCAGTACGGTGCTGTAATGGTTTCAACTTTAAGTTGATACATTACATAATTAATCTTCTAGATGTAAGTGAGCCTGACATAATTACGTTATCTTAATCTCTAGCGATCTTAGCTTTCACTAAATGAGCACTAAACTAGTTAACATGAAGCAATCACAACTGCTTATAATTTGAACTTTATTCGAAGAGGGTTGGGTTTTTTCTTCTGTAACACCTTTTTCTATATGACACTTTCAGACTGAAAGCTGCATGTGCTTATATTTATTTTTAATACAACTGTTAGAGACATATGGGAGAACATTAAATGTGTTACTAAACTATTTCTTCTTACCAACAGTAATATGAACAGTGCCTATGCAAGGCTACTTCAGTCCATTCAGAGGATCATTTACCAGGAAGGGTTTGACGGCTCTGATCCCCAGGTACTGAACACCCTCATACTCTTCTATAATCCAATAACTAATATTGTTTTCTGAGTTTTTTAAGAGTAGCACAAGAAGGTCTTGGACAAAGTAACAAGGAACAAGCTGTTTCTAAGCATTGCTAAAGTAAAGCAGCAAAGTAAATAGTGTCGTTCATATTTAAATGTGGGTTTGGAGGTTTTACCTGCTATTTTACAGCTATGCAGACCATGCGAGAAAGAACTGTAAGACAGCATTAGTAAAATGCATATTCTATGCAATTAGCTATCAAATGGATTGCCAAATATAACGTAATTAAGGAAAACACATTTTCCCCTACAGTTTTTTTTTCCAACTATTGCTTTAGCAATAATGTGTTTAAAACCCTTGAGATTGCACATTTAATCTTAAACTTTCAGAGTTTTCCAATGTTGTTTTAACTGGAGTGGAGTGAATTTTTTAATTAATTAAATGGTGTGTATTCTTATGTAGCGAGCATTGAAACACAAGTGAAGAAATAAGAATGCTGTTTCAACTTTACAAATCAAAACAGCTTAACAGACTTCTAAAGATCTCTGTACTCTTCATAAATCATACTGTGGGTAATGAAAAATGTTTTAAGTGTAACAACATAGACTGAAAGCCCTTACTAATTTGAGCAGTGCCCTATCTATTATTCTTTGTCATATTCAGTACTATGTGAGTCCTTTCGGGTTGATGGAAGAAAATAATAAATTAGGTATATTGATGCTTAATTGATAGGTAATTGTTGTACAACAGAAAGGTTACTACAGTAGAAGTTAATTAGTATAGATGCTGGAGAACCTCAAAGAGTATAATACAAGACTGTATACTATTACTAGTTGAAAATCTTTAAAATCCCCTTTTGCAGGGAAGATAATGTTGGAATGGATGTTTTCATGTCTAACAGTACGTGTTAGAAACATTACCTGCAGAGAACACTTGTGTGTAAATTTAGGTCATTTGTGCTCGGTGTTGAGGCTCTGCTGAGATTTATGGGCGAGCTTGCCTTCCCTTTGGTGGCAGTGCCAGTCTGGAGAAGTAAATTGGTCCCTGACAGGCAACTCTCCCCACTCACTGTGGTAGCCATGGCAACAGGCATGTCATCATACCGTACGGTACCGTGCGCAGAGATGCTCCTCCCGCACAGTGACAGGTCCTGTGGAAGCTTGCTGGCTGCAAAGAGCAGCACCAAGTGAAGCAAACACCCTGCCAGCCTTCAGCCAGCAAACAACCTCCTACTGGAGAGATGACACGGGTGTTTCAATTTTTCTTACAAGTTACGTCTGATGGGAAAATAGCAGCTTTGTGTATTCCTGAGGGTTTTTTTACATGTAAAAGAAAATAAAGGTTTATCAGAGTCAATATTTTTTGATTTTTTGCTTGCAAGCAAGGAAAAATTAAAAATCATGGAGACTTATTTTCTGTACTTAGTGTTCATTGTTTCAAAACATGTTACTAGTGTCAATGAAGCAAAATCAGAACTTTAACTCAGATGAATTTAAAAGTATATGTTTGCTGAATGGTCTATAAAAGTTTCTGAGGTGTAGCTTTAAAAGTTAGAAAGAGAGTCCTTTTTCAGACTAGTTTATCCATCTAGAAAGCCATTAGTGCTTGCATAGTTGTTTGTGTTACAAGGGAGATGATGCATATGATTTCCTGGAGCAGTTTCTGTTACCTTCTTTTAAGATTCCTCTTTTTCCCATGCATCGTCTTTCTTTGTACACTCAAATTTTATACATTCAGAAGCAGTATATAATACACACCCCTGAATATGTCCGGAGTTGAATGTAGTTATGGCTCAAAACATGCCTTGGCTCTTTTTATCTTCCAAACCTATGAGTTCACCTCTCTGCTGCTCTGTATCCCTTTCTGCTGAGACTTCAGAAGTACTTTTTAAGTAGCCAGATATGAAGATTGTAGAGTAAGGACCAGCCTGTATTATTCTGGACCTGTGTCCTTTCCTGTATGTAATAACAGTAACACAAGCTTCTGAGAAGTTTGTTCATTTATGCTCTTCCCCTCCAAATAATCCTCCCACCTTTAGGTGGGTCCTGTTAGCAGTGGCTTTCATGAACTTTGGAGAAAACTGCAAGGGCCAAAATGTAACAAGGAGGTACTGAACTTTCAAGCCATTTACTTACTGACTTTCAGATATTTTTGTCTACTTTCACATCAGTATGCCAATGATACTTGGACTTACTACTCCTTTTTATTCTCTCCTCTTTATCTAATACCAGTATTTGAACAGGGGTCTGGAGAAAAGTGAGCAGAATGTGACGCACCCCAGCTGGCAGAGATTTGACACAATTAGGAAAATTAGTGAAAATTACCATTAGAGGTTTAGTAGACCATTTAGATAATATGGTCCGGCATCTCTAGCACCTAGTACGATTAGCTAACATTAATGTTTTATAGGAACATCTGCTGTTGGCCGTCATAGATTAATGTTTTTTGACTGTCCTGCATGACTCTTTGGGCCTTAGGACAGTAATTCGTGTTTGAGGTATTAGGCTAGAGAAAAGTTTGGTTGAAGTTAACCAAAGCAATAACCTGTTTTTTCACAGTGACTGGAAGATCTTTGCCAAGAGCTATTTGGAAATTCAGGGTCTGAATGGCCTGTAACTTAGAAATATAAGCATCAGTTTTACATCCTTTTTAAAAGCTCCTGGTACCTCTTTGCTGCTGATCATTAAGTATGAATCCTTTATAAATTGAACATGGTTTTAAGTCACACAGAATAGCACTTGTTTGTTTCAGAATTGCTTTGTTTTTTTCATGTTTGATAAAAGGAATTTCATAGACAACTTTATTTCCTTAACTTTCTTTTGCTATACTTTGGAGCTCAAGTTGGGTGACTTTCAGGATAATAAAGGGGGGGGGGGGGTTTTTTTGTTTGCTTGGAGTTAGGTTTTTTAATTTTT